TTTTGTATCCTTTGGGTAAATATCTAATAGTGCAATTCCTGGATCATAGGATAGTTCCATTTTTAGTTTCCTAGGGAACCTCCATACTGTTCTCCAGAGTGGCTTCACCAGTTTGCATTCCCACCAACAGTGCAAGAGAGTTCCCCTTTCTCTGCATCCTTGCCCACACCTGTTGTTTCTTGTGTTGTTAATTTTAACCATTCTGACAGGTATGTGGTGGTAACTCATCATAGTTTTGATTTGTATTTCCCTGATGATGAGTGATGTTGAGCATCTTTTCATGTGTCTGTTAGCCATCTGGATGTCTTTGGAAAAGTGTCTATTCAGGTCTTCTTATTTTATTTTTTTAACTCTCAAGTTAGTTAACATACAGTGTACTCCTGGCTTCAGGAGTAGAATCCAGTGGTTCATCGCCTACATATAACACCCAGCGCTCATCCAAATAACTGCCCTCCTTAATGTCCACCACCCATTTTCAACACCCCCCCTACCCCCATCAACCCTCAGTTTGTCTTCTGTATTTAAGAGTCTCTTATGGTTTGCCTCCCTCTCTGTTTTTATCTTATTTTTTCTTCCCTTCCTCTCTGATCATCCGTTAAGTTTCTTAAATTCCACATATGAGTGAAATTATGTGATATCTGTCTTTCTCTGACTGACTATTCATGTCTTCTGCTCATTTCTTAACTGGGTTGTTTGGTTTTGGGGTGTTGAGTTTGATGTGTTCTTTATAGTTTTGGATACTAATCCTTTATCAGATATGTGATTTGCAAATAATCTTCTCCCATTATGTAGGCTGCCTTTTAGTTTTGTTGTTTCCTTCACTATACAGAAGCTTTTTATCTTGATGAAATCCCAATACTTTGTGTTTGCTTTTGTTTCCCTTGCCTTTGGTGACATATCTAGTAAGAAGTTGTTCTGGCCAAGGTCAAAGAAGTTGCTGCCTTTGTTCTCCTCTGGGATTTTGTTGGTTTCCTATCTCACATTTAGGTCTTTTATCCATTTTGAATTTATTTTTGTGGATGGTCTAAGAAAGTGGTCCAGTTTCATTCTTCTGCATGTCACCATCCAGTTTTCCTAGCACCATTTGTTGAAGAGACTGCCTTTTTCCATTGGATATTCTTTCCTGCTTTGTTGAAGATTAGTTGACCATATAGTTGGGGGTCCATTTCTGGGTTTTCTGTTCTGTTCCATTGATCTATATGTCTGTTTTTGTGCCAGAGTCATACTGTCTTGATGATTGCAGCTTTGTAATTAGCTTGAAGTCTGGAATCGGGATGTCTCCAGTTTTGCATTTCTTTTTCAGGATTGCTTTGGCTATTTGGCATCTTTTGTTGGTTCCATACAAATTTTAGGATTGTTTGTTATAACTCTGTAAAGAATGTTGGTGGTATTTTGATAGGGATTTGCATTAAATGTGCAGATTGCTTTGGATAGTATAGACAGTTTAACAATGTTTGTTCTTCCAATCCATGAGCATGGAATGCTTTTCCATTTCTTTGTGTCCTCTACAATTTCTTTCATAAGTGTTCTGTAGTTTTCAGAGTATAGATATTTTACCTGTTTAGTTGGGTTTATTCTTAGGTATCTTATTGTTTTTGGTGCAATTGCAAATGGGATCCATTCCTTGATTTCTTTTTCTGCTGCTTCATTATTAGTGTATATAAATGCAATTGGTTTCTGCACATTGATTGTATATCCTGCAACTTTGTTGAATTCATGTATTGGTTCTAGAAATTTTTGGGTGGGGTCTTAAAAAAATTTTACAGTGAATCAACCAGCATCAATAACACTACCCATGAAATAATAATACAAATATAAAAAAATACAAATCAACTAAAAATGTGTAATGTACTAATATGATGAAACATGAAAGATTTATTTATAAGGATAGTAGAAAGTAATATAGGAGTCTTAGGCAAGAAATTAAACCAGGGCAGATACTTTTTCTGTAAAGGATCAGATAGTATACTTTTTAGGATTTATGGGTCAGATATCTGGTCTTTGTTGAAATTACTCAGCATTGCAGTTGTAGCACAAATGTAGTAATGAACATTATGTAAAGAAATGAGCATTACTGTGTTTAAGTAAAACTTTATTTATAAAAACAGGAGTCAGGCTGAGTTTGGCCTATGGGATATAGTTTGTTCAGTCCTGGATTAAACTACTCATGGTAATTTCAAATAAATTATAATTATAAATGATAGATATAGATAGGTGACTTTTAATGAGACAGCATTGTTTTTAAAGTAACATTCCGCTCAGACTAAGCTAGAATTCCCAAGAGAGGGGACTCAGGGTCTGCCTTTAGGTGGACCAGGGGTAGTGAGAAAGTGCAGCCCAATCCCTCCTAAATACATAGGGCCGAATATCTCAGTTTTATCACAGTTTTAAATATTGGGGTTCCACATGAAAAGATATTTCACTGATAATAAAATTTGAAAACTATTGGATTATAGAAAGTAGTAACTAAAATCTGTAGTTTTCTTTTTTTATGTTCCCTTTACATAGGCAAAGCAGAGTGTACCTCTGAAGTAAAACATATCATTTTTACTGAAATGTGTATGTTTCATAGATAACAAAATGAGATATATTGGAGTAAAAAATAATAGAAATTGTATCTGTGATGATTAAATTATCAGATAATTATTTAAAATTCTACTTTGCGTATTTACATATATACACCACTAATAGATGACTAATGCTTTGTCTTAATGTCTAGTTTGTTTGTTATCTGAATCTTGCCTGAAGTTTTATGAAGTTAACCTTCAATGATACGAGTTTATGTAGAGTAATAACACTGAAGTAACACAGATAATATAGGTTCCTCTCCAGTGATGTTTAAATAGAATTATTTATTAGCTAGATTTAAAGTTTTATGGAAGTGGGAAAAGTGTATATATATACTGAGAGATCTGGACGTGCTGCCTAAACTTTATACTAAAGTCCTTAGATGGTTGGGAGGCTAAACTTTCTGTATGATGATATAGGGAATCATTTGAGGCCAAAAAAATAGTGATATTGGCATTTTGAGTTGATGTACATGAGAAAACATATCTATCATTTTATGTATATCTGTATATTTTTCACCTCAACCTGAATCTCTGTAAGAAAATCAATAAAAACTGTCTGTTGGGATTGATTGTCTTAACGCAGCTTACTTCCTTGGGCTATTAAAAAGGGTTCTGCTCATATTAAAGTGCTGAAATGATATTATGGTAAATTTACATAGGCAAATTTACAATGGTAAATTTTTGCTGATCTGAAAACAAAGAAATCTGTTACCTATTATGACCTCTAAACTTTAAATGTGTTCTTCTAAAAACATCCATATGCAGAAATCTGAAAAACAAGATGAGACATGATTAAATCACCTCTCAAAATTGGCATTTGATAAAAGAATAATTATGTGGTTCAGCTGTTTATAAGTTGAAGCTAATATAGAAAAAATATTTCAGGGAAAGACCTAGAGTTTATTTTTTTTATTGACTTATGTAAGCACTTTACCTTTTGAGCTCTATAAAAATATGAACAATTTCTGGTCCGAGATTCTTCTTTTGCACATGTGAACTTTTATGACTAGATTACTTACATCAAGAGAATTCATTGAATAGTAAAGAATGTTGATGATGAGTTTGGTATGAGGTAGAACTCTTGCTTCCAAAGGACAGGAGAAATTTATCTTTCCCTATTTATTTGCAAGGTATTCTCAAATAAACCTTCTGTTAGCACATGACATACTCATTAGCCCTGGACCTAAGAGAAAGTTCAGGATCACAGTGCTGGCAGATTCAGTGTCTGATGAGGACCCACACACTTCCTGGTTCATAGACAGCCTTCTTCTCATTGTGTCTTCATATGGCAGATGAGACAAGGGAGCTCTCTGGGGTCTGTTTTATAAAAACATGAATCTCATTCATAAAGACATCATTCTCATGGCCTAATCATTCTCATGGCCTAATCACTTCCCAAACAGCATCACGTATGATTTTCAACATATTTAGGGGAATTTTGTAGCACCACATTAGTGTTGGTCAGTAACTGGCTGCAAGAGGGCATAACATTTTAGGTGAGGTAGTTCTAATGTGACTGAAGGTCGTTCTCTAGAGAAGTAGGTAAGACTGGGAGCCGCTGGGGGATGAGTACCTTGGTCTAGTCCAGTGTGCTAGCAAAAGGATTCTCCTGCATATTAGAAACGGAAAATAGGAACAGGAGTTAGCTGTTCTCAAGAAGCACTGACAACATGACAGCAATTCATGAGATAGAAGAAAATTTGAAAGTTGACCCATGAGCTTGAGGTCATGTACCATAGGGATATGCCACACAGGACTCCAAAGCCCATTCTAGTATGTTCCAGTACTGGGTGTACATGCTGTTCACCTGAAGCCCACACGATAAAAAGTTCTATTTTATTAAGGTATTCAGTTGAAAAAGCAGGGACCATCAGTATTTTTTATAGTCTAATTCCTTAAATCACCAGTCTCTAGTTATTTAGAAAAGAAATAGCTCCTTGGGAAAGTGCTGGGTAGATGCATAGTTAAGCTAATATGACTTTTAGAGAGCATTAACCATAGGGCCGCTTGAATCCAAAGAAGCTGTGTATTGCAAAAGTAAGTACTTTTTAAACAATAAAGGTGTTTTAGAGAGTCTCACATTTTGAGACTTAGGATATTAATGTGTCTCAGTTTACTCTCAGGAAGGTTGACAGGAAAGACGGACTTTGTGGTTTGTTTCTGTTGAACAAATGGATGATTGTAGGGCTGTAGCCCAAACTAGGTAAGAGATGGCATCATTTTCATTGTGTTTTCAGTAATTGCTAGCCTCCTGGCCCCCCAGTACCAGTTATTCCATTAACCCTTCGTCAAGTTTCACCCTCCAGTGGTTACCCTCCAGCTGTTCTACAGAGACTTTCAGCCTAATCCCTACATAGCCCATCAAGTATCAAATGCTGCTTTTGATGCATTGGTGTTCTCTAGAAAAATGTTCATGTTTTTCTTCTTCAGTACCATAATGCTACCTTTGACTGGGCATTTTTGTCGACGAAGAAGTGTTTGAAATACGGAGGAAAGCTCGTGGGGAACAACTGTGATTTTGTTCCTGACATCACTCTCATGTCTTTCATCCTCTTCTTGGGCACCTACACCTCTTCTATGGCTCTGAAAAAATTCAAAACGAGTCGTTATTTTCCAACCACGGTAAGTACCTGAGCTTTAAATAACTTCCATTGAATTTACACAATAATACAATGTTTAATAATGAAAAAGTCACCTGTAATTCAACTTTTGCAATTTTGTGCATTTAAAAATTGATTTCCAGTCTTTGTCCATGTGCCTATTATGTATTTTTAACCTAATTATAGTCTGGCTTTGAAAAGCCTTCCATGGATAAATTCTGTCATAAATTCTATCATAATTCGTATTGTACTGAGGGGGAAAAGTGGGATGTACTTTAGTATCTAAAAATGCACGAGTAAGAAAAAAACCTGTTAAATCCATACTTTGAAAGTACATAAGCAAAAACTCTTCATATTAGTAACAGTTTTTATGTAGAATTTCTTGTTCATGAGCTGTACATGTAGTAATTTAGTAGTTGAATTATGGGCTGTGGGAGTAAACTTACACTGTGTCGTTACACCAGTATTGGTATAAGATACGAGCATCATCTGAGCCAAATTTTCCTTCCCATAATGATGAATGCTGTAGTACAGAAAAACAGATAATTGAGCTGGGTTGTGCAGACATCCTGTCTCCCCTTAATATGCTTGGGTGAACATAAAATCAAAACTGTGGTTCATGGAGGGACTACAAGATAAGACCAACATTTAGTTACTGGCGTTTTGTTTTTTTACCTGCAGAGTGAAACTAAGATAATCCTTTGCTTTGCAGTTCAGTTCTCAGTGTTTAAGATGTCAGTTTTTCTTAGGTAATCTTGATTATACCTGATTTTTATCAATGAGCTGCTCTAAGCAGCTAGAATCTCATGAAATCTCTCCCCTTGTGTTTTGTGTAGAAGTGGAAAGACTTTAGAAGACAAGAGATGCAGTTGCTGAAATTCCTTTCTTTCAATTCCTAGGAAATGAATCATCATATATTCACTTTCACGCAGGAAACTTTCTGACTTTTTCTTATAAAAACTGATTTTTCTTATAAAGTTGAAAATAAAGGGAAAGATTGATAACTGTTTTCGTCTGTTTGGGCTGCTATAACAAAATACCATAGACGGGTGACTTATAAACCACAACAATTTATTTCTCACGTTTTTGGAGGCTGGAAAGCCCAAGGTCAGGTACCAGCATGGTTGGGTAAAGGCCTTCCTCCTGGCTCATAGCCAGCACCTTTTCACTATGTTCAAACATGGAGGAAGGGCTAGGGCTCTCTTCGTGGCCTCTTTTATAAAAACATTAATCTTACTCATGAGGGCTCCACCCTCATGACCTAAGTACCTCCCTAAAGGCGCCACCTCCTAATACCATCTTTTTTTGGGGGGTTAGGATCTCAACATACAAATTTGAGGCGGACACAACACTGAGACCGTAGCAATAATGAAATGTCCCAAACTAGCTGGCCTAAGGAATGAAAAATCTCCACAAAGTCAAGGTGCCTGGGTGGCTCAGTCAGTTAAGTGTCCGACTTCAGCTCAGGTCATGATCTCATGGTTCCTGAGTTCGAGCCCTGCATCGGGCTCTCTGCTGAACGCTTGCTGAGAGCCTGGAGCCTGCTTCAGATTCTGTGTCTCCTTCTGTCTCTTCCCCACCTCTGCTCGCTCTCTGTCTCACTCTGTCTCTCAAAAATGTGAAAAAAAAAATTATAAGAAAAAAAAAGAAAAATCTCCACAAAGTGAAACATAGAAAGAAGCATTCAATTTAATGTGTCTAAAATGGGCATCACAAAACAGTGGTAAACAGGCATAATTCAGCCTACAGCCATTCTTTGTTTAGCCCATAGTTTGTGAACACACACACACACACACACACACACATGCACACACATGAGGCCTTGGGTGGAGCCTCTACTTTGCGGGTAGTTATTGTCCTCATAACTCTAAGACTTGGCTGCTTTGCAATTTCAGATTAACTGCCTGTCCCTGAAGATATTTGAGCTTGTAACACCAGTTACACAGGGAAATGTGTTAACTTAGTCCACCTTTTCAATGGTATGAGTTTTGTGTGGACCAGATGCCTTGGGTAAATGTCTTTGAGGACAATTGCTTCTTCTCTGTTGAGGTTTTTCCTTCTTAATTATTAATCCATTAGACCCCTCTTTCTCTTCCCCCCGCCCCCGGCTCACACTTGAGGAATTATCACCTTTTTATCTCTTCCACTTGCCAAAGCCTGAAATTATATAGACATAGCAGGTGGAAAACAAGAAAATTTGTGAAGCAATTGTTAGTTGTAATTTACAAAATAAACTAGTTTCATCCTTAAGATAAATATAGATCATTTCAACTGCCTATGTAGACATCACCTTTTTCTTCCAGCAGTAACTACCAAATTGATAACAGCTCTTCAGACTTAAAGGAATTTTCCCTTTATAATAGCCCAAGCAGGTCATTTCTCAGCATTGATAAATGCTGCTGAGAAAGTTATGAGCATGTGAAAATAGAATAATGATAGCAATCCAGTTTCAATTCCTACTAAGAGGTTTCTCAGCATAGTTTAGAATTATATACAGCAATCATAAACAGGGGGCAGAAAATATATGTGATTTCTAAGGAGCAATGTTGAGGTGTGTAGGCTTTCAGACCATCATCTCTCCTACTCACTTTATGTTTAGAGCTAAATAATAACAATACATCGATAAATTCACACTTGCGTGAATAATAAGAATATATTTTCTGCTCTCTCATTTGCCAAAATGTGTTTGGACTTAAGCTGTCATTTAGAAGGAGGGTCTCTAAAGATAGGAACCAATAGATTTATAGATCTTTATGCTTCATGTTATTCTACAATAAAAATTTGTATGCTTAAATAGAATAAATTAGACAATCCTTGAATGCTGGGGCAATAATTGAGCCAACTGTTACTACTTCCTCACTCACACCAACAATGCACATGAAATTGCTAAAATCTCAAAGTGATCATGCCGGATAACAGTGCCCCTGTCCTACAAAATGTCCTCTTTTCCTTTAGTGTGACAGGCCATTTCTCTCTAGCACTCTCATTTCTAAACATTTGTATTTTAGTCAATTAAGACTGTAAACCGCTGGAATTCTGTTTTACTTCTGCATTATTCCTCACATCAATTAGCACAAAGCTGGGTGCAGACTAAGTACTCCATACTTGATGACTACTGGGAAACAGCAAAATTGAGGGAAAGGCTGAATTTTGTGGAAAGAGCACACATAGATGGGAGAACCCAGAAGCTCCACTGCCAGCACCGCCATTAACTAACAGTAGCCCTTTGATGGCTAACTGTGGACTTCAGTTATAACACCCAGAAAAGGAGAGCTCAGCTAGAAGACAATTAACATCCTTTTAAGCTCTACAGTTCTGTAATTTTAGAGAGAGTTTGCTGACTCCATCTCCTAAATTAAATGAATTCTCTATTTTAAGCTAGAGCTTATGGCAATGATCAGTACTTACAAATTTCTCAAAATTAATTTTTATCTCCATCTTTATGCCACGTCTGCGTTTACAGCTGCTGCCAACCTCTGTTTGTGGATGATCCACAGTTGTTATATAGCAACTTCAAGATGTGGTTTTTCTTTCCACATGTGAACATACTCATCTTCCTGTATTCCTTATCTCAGCTCATAGTATCATCTACCCTCACAGCCATCCAAGATCAAAATCCCAGAATCATATTTGGTGTGTCAGTCTGAGCAGGAAGCAAATTATACACTCAGGTGGGATGATTTGAGGGGTTTACTAAAAAGCATCATTTCCAAAGTGCAGTTAGGTTTAGGGAACCCATGAGGGAGAATGTAGTGTCCAGTGCTAGGAACAGTGGGTTGTTACTATCCCTGGCCCGAAGGTTGTGCAAAGGGAATGGTTGCTGGACCCCAGAGGAAAAGAGTCGAGAGAGCTGTCCTGGGAGGTAACATGAGCTCAGGCTGAGGGATATAGCCGGCCTGAGGAAGTCTCACAGCAATACAGCTATGGGAATAAGTATTTTGATCTATCTCTCTTTTACTTCTGATGGCCTGCCCAAGCTGCTGCAGGCTAAACCCAGCTGGAGAGGAAAGGGAATCTACTTCAGACCACAGGCCAGTCTCCCAAGGTGGAGAGCATGGTAAAAAGCAGTAGAGAGTTGAGGGAAGATGGCGGCGTAGGAGGACGCTGGGCTCACCTGCAAGGCCCCTAAGATCACTATAGATTCCTGTACACTCCACTAAATAACTCAGAAACCACAGAGGATTAGTGAATTTGAGTCGCCATGAGCTGCCAGCATTTTAGAGTCTAGGAAGAGGGGAGGAAGGGCGGTTATATGCGCCCACCTGACTGGCTGGGAGGGAGCCGGGCGGAGGGGCGGCTCGGCCAAGCCAGAGCCCCTAGCCCGGCTTGTAAAAAAGCGGAGGGGCCTGACGGATCTGTGTTCGACAGCAAGCCACTTAGCGCCTGGGAGGTCAGGCAGTTACAGCTCTGCCTGGAAAGCTGGAAGGCTGGAGGACAAAGGGAGGGAGAGCTGGCTGAGCCCCTGACGACAGAGCTCAGTTTGGTGGGGAACAAGGCGCCCAGTGCCATCTCTCCCGCCCCACTTCAGCCAACCTAAAGAGAACCGGCCCTGCCAGGGAACTTGCTCGCCTCCCATAAACACCCCAGCTCTGTGCTCTATGAGCCAAACTCCGAAGGGATCTGACCTCCCGCTGCCACAGGGTTCCTCCTGAAGTGGATCACCTAAGAGAAGCCAGCCAAGCCTCGCCCCTCCCTGCCCTGCAGCACCTTGCCTACCCAGGACCAGCTTAATATGCTGGACTCTACATCACAAGCCTGGCAGTGTGCGTGCCCAGACAGGCCACTCCCACAGTGAATCCCACTAGGGAGAGAGGAATAACTAGTCTGACTGTGGACAGCGGGCTGGGGCACAGGTTCGACTCGGCAAGTTCACACCAACTCCAGCTACACCACAGCACAGTGCCCGCAGGTCCTCACCGTCGCCAGGGACTGTCTGCACGACCAAGCGGAAGAATTTCAGAAGAATCTCCAGAAATAACAACAGCTAATGAGTTGATCAAAAGGATTGAATAATATAACAGA